TGGAGGAAAGGATAAACAAACTCTGGCGCACACACACACACACACACACACACAAAGGAATATTATGCATCCTTTAAAAAGTAACTGTGAGCCTGTCAAACGTGCCCTGATGTGGACATAATTGGAGGACATGATGTTCAGCGGAGTTAGTCTCACAATGATGCATATTTCATGACACCATTATTATAGAGGGAAAATGGTTTTCACACCAAAAGAAAAGATTGGAAGATTATGAGGAAGCCAGAACATGGGGTGAGGAGGGGGCAGGGGTGGAGCAGAGGACAGGGGGAGAGGGAGAGGATGGCGAGGTAAAGAGGGAGGGTGAGTAAGGAAAGAAAAAGGGAGAAGGAAGAACCCCGTGGGGGCGTTACTAAACTGCTGTCACTGTTTTGATGCGCTGGCCGGTGCAGCTACGTATCCTCTGTCTTTGTATGTGTTACACTCTACCGACAAAAGGAACGGGAATACCAATAAATGAAAAAAACCCTATCGCTAGGACGAGTCCGATGCCTCCAGATCCCTTATCCATCAGATCTGAACACTGGCCCCAGTGGGTGCAAAAGGAGGAAAAGTGAAACGGAAACTGACTTCTATTCTTTTTGTGACAACTGAGCTAGTTTCAAACAAACCAAAAGCATGTACCTTGATTCCTGAGTGTCTGGGCACCCCTTAAATTGTGTGCCCTGTGGGATGGGGAGGGGCGGGTCTGAAAACTAGACTCCTGGGGTCAGAGCAGGTGCCCGCAGAGTCTGGCAGGTTCACAGGGGACCCTCGGACAAGCTCAAGTTTGCTGCTGTGGTCTGTGACCATTGAGTCAGCCGGGCCCCGAGCATCACAGAAGGAAATCCTGCCTGTCCTGCGGCAGCCCCTGAATGGCTGTGGATAGAGCGAAGCTGAGGTTTACACAGGGTATTCAACATCGGAAGGAGGGCAGCTACTCAAGGGCAGGTGTGGATGGATGGTGGGGCTTGGGAGAGGCCTGTCTGATGGTAAGCGGGGTCAGGGAGGAAGCCAGTAAAAGGAGTGCTAGAATCAAAATAAGAGGGAGGAATTGTCCGAGAACAGGCACACTGCTTTGGAAGGTGTTTGTGGGATATGGGGCTTGTCCACATCTCCTTTAAATCTGGGCCAAGAATCTTGGGGGAGACAAAAGGAAGCATGCCTTGGGAAGGAAGGAAGGAGTGTTCTCATCACTGAGCTGATGAGGGGGATAAAGCCCAGAGCACCCCCAACCCCCCGGGGGCCTGCGAGACACTGCAGGCATGAGGACGGGTTGTCTCAGAGTGAGAGGAGAGTGAGTCGACCATTTAGCCTCATGCCTGTGCTAGGACTCGTCATTCCATGATCTGGGGCTATCGGAAAATGGACAGGTGAGCTTTGAGGCATCGAGGACAATCAGACCAGACAATCTGCATGTGAAGGGTTACTGGCCCAGTAGATGAGGGGTATGTTGTAGTTGGGGCTTGTCGGATCTTGCACTTGGACTTCGAACGCCTCTCCTGCTTCCATCCTTGCCCACACTACCAGCCTGATCCCTGTCCAATTTTCTTCAAAGCATTGTCGGCAGTCATCTCGTGTGTTCTTGTGTTTGCTTTTTGACTGATCTCTATTTCCCTTTACTGCCAATCTAAACTCCTGTGTTAGTCTGGGTAGACTAGAGAAAGAAATCCAGGGAGACTCATCTGTGTCTAAGAAAGAGCTTTATATACTAAAGAGCAATTGTATGTTGAGAAAACATCCCAGCACAGCCCACATCAAGTCCATAAGTCTGAAATTAACCCATATGTCTGAAACAGTCTATAAATCCTCTTTAGACTCACACAACACATGCAATGACACCAAATGCAGAAGATCAGAGGCCAGTGGGTGGAAAATCTTGTGGATCCAGTGGCAGTGGAAGCATCTCAGTGATGGCATGGGTCTCCACATGGCTCCCCCAGCTCCAGGACTCCGGTTCCATCAGTGTAACTCCATGTGTCTTGTCAGCAGGAAGACAGAGAGTGTGTGTCCCACCTCCTGTGAGCTATTTATCTCTGTAGCACCTCCTAATGAGGTCATCAATCTGTGACTGATTGACAGGCTAAACTCCACCCCTTCACTCTTAATAGTTTTAAATCAACCCCAGATTATATAACTACCACCACTCCATAAGGGAAGCCCCACTATCTATCTTATTCAATATGGCCTCTCCCGCATTTAGAGTAGTACCCTGAGGGACCAGGAACGCAGGAACTATTTGTTGAATGAATGAAGGAATGAAAGTTGGGACTCTAGCCAGGCTTTGGGCCATCCTTATGTACAGGCTGGGAGCATGAGCTGGAAGACAGCATCTTGGGTGGCAGTTAGCAGGTGAATGGACAGGAGTGCTATCTAGTGGGTCTATGGGCTTCTTGTGGAACGCCACTGGCTTTTCAGTGACTTATGTTTGGGCATCTTCAGAACAAGGGGGTGACAGCCCTGCTTTGTTCCGACTGGTCCCGCCACACTTAGGCCACTGGGCCTGGTGGGACAGAGACTGACAACCCTTTTAACCAGGCTGGTATTCAGAGGAGCGTGATTGAGCTGAAATGGAACGAGGGCCGACCCAATGTGGGCAGTGGGTGGTGAGGGTGGCAATGGGCAGGCAGGAAGACGGAGACGTTGGTGAAAGAGGGAGCAGGCTTCTCTCATGAGGTCCTAGGGAGTCAAATGAGGACCAGACACTGGCCGTGAAAGTGATGCTTTGAGTTAATGGTGAGATGTTTCTGACCGTTGGTGCTGCCTGAATTGCATTAGGAGACCTCATGGGCGTGAGAGTTCCCGGTAACTGGGGGCATCCGAGCAGGGCCAGGGGTGTATAGAAGGAACCCTTGCCCTCAAGAGGGCTCCTCCAGAACTCACGGGGTGGGGGATGTCCCCTGCAGTTAGGTTTAGCTCGAACCCACACCAGCTGGGACTCTCCCCAGAGGACCTTAAACATGCTCCTGGTTGCTCCAGGTGCCTAGGGAGATGCAGCTTCCATTTTTGTTGGTTTATTGAGCAGGATGTTTCTGATTGTAGATGGGGCAGGGGCAGGGGCAGGGAGGAGTGTGTTTTGTTTTCTCCTCCTGGCACACAAGGTAAGTTAGATGGGGCAGTGGGGCAGTGAAATACAAGCCCCTCCCACTTCTCTCCCCCTTGTCTCCTTTCCCACCCCCATCTTCTTCCCCCTCCCCCTCCCTCTTTTTTGTTTGTTTTCATTTCAGTTCTAAAAAGAACAGCCCCTGATCCAGGAAAGTGAATGAGATAGTAAAGGTTTATTGTGCCAACTTGGTCGATAAATACATGTGGGGTTAATTGAAGGGCGGAGAGATAAATGGCTAGGTGAGTCTCATCTTCCTAAATGGCTAGGTGAGCCTCACCTTCCTAGTTCTCGGGTCTCTTGCTTTCTGATG